GACGAGTGTCGCTCTGTCGAGCTGGCCAGCGCTTTGACCATACAGGTGGCCCCTCGACTGCCTGATACGGGGTGGATCAACGGATTAAGGCAATGACGGGATTCAGCAGACGATGAAAGACGAGGAGGGGGGAATGCGTCTTTTGCATGCAAAAATTTTGGAGAGCTCCTTGTGATTACAGAAAAAGACACACCAACTGCCAGACACTCTGGAGCAGGGAACAACAGTGGCCGTGTCACAGCGTGTCATGTTGCTGTCCTTGTGAAATAGTGATGGCGATGCCCAATACGCTTGACTTTGCTCCAGCTTTGTTGGCAGAGATTCCTGGCGTGAAGGAACATGTAGAACGGGGAGGTGAAATCCAACCGAATAGCAATGGCCTCCAACCTTAGCTTGGCTTCACGTCATCCGATCAAGGTCATTTGCTTTTACCTTGGTGATGCAGCAGCAGCTCCTTGGCAGGCAATACCGCGCGCTTGCACAACTCTGCAGGGGTAGGAGGCTATGGTTATGGTTCGAAAAAGTACGGCACTGATACTGAAGTTTGGTCGCTCCTGTGTTCCTTACGCTCATGTCTATTTGCCCACTTAATTGACACCAACGAAGAATGCCGTGAAATTAATCTTCGGACTGGGTCTGTCCTGCATCGTTTCCATGTTGATTTTTGTTTGATCCTCAACACGAGCTCAAAGCACAGCTGAGCAGAATGATCACGCATTTGGCCACGCATACCTTCTGTCCAGATGTATGATGCAGGCGAGCAAAGCCTTTTCGGTATGCTGGTGTTGAATCTTGTGTATATATATATATATAAATATATGTATAGATTTGACAAGCTAGTTACAGATACAGCTAGTTGAGGGTTGTTGGGGGAGTGCTTGCTTTTTGCTGTCCCCTTTCATTTCCTGTTATGGTTGTTAATCATTTTGTTGAGACAATAGGTGGTGCTCATGTTGCTACAACTAAGTTGGGAAACGCCAAAACATTTGAGTTCTCCAGCTATACCACACACCTGACACCTTTCAGGCCATGCTGTCCATCCATGCGTGTATGTGCAAAGCTTCCCCACAAAAATCCCCAGGACAGAAGGAACATCAATCCCATGCATTGCGAACGCAAAGCGGATGCAAAGCGCAAATGCACTAAGGCTTAAAGTACACAATACACATCAATACATTGCAAACCATGCAAGCCCGTTTATCATCAAATTCACTATCATCATTCACATTGTTTCGCAATCTAATCTATATAATCTAATTGGATTGAACCGAATCCACTCAATATTTTTTTTTGGTGAGTCTCTCTCCATAAGTCGGTGAGCGTCGCGTGCTAGTAAGAGCCAATGGGCAGGGCTGAGTGTGATGCTGGGGCTGTGAGAGTTTGTTGGATGTGCCCTTTCATGTGTTGTTTCTGGACCCAACCAGGCCAAGACCTCCTGACCTAGCCACAAAGCCTGTGGACGTTTTACCAGGAACACTACCTGTAAGTTGTTGCATGTGCCAGTGCCAGCAATCTATTCTTGATACATATTGTATACTACATCGATATGGGTACACGATGAACAATTGTAGCCAAGGCCATGGTTTTTGTACCAGAGCTTTCAGAGCTTTGTCCACGATTGCCTTCCTGGGCCACGTGTCTTGGCCTCCCTGGCAAGACAGATAATGTGGGTAACGTGTGTTCTTCGCAACATCTCGTTGAGAACCAGCACCCAGGGGCGACCCAGGTACATCTCTGTCCATGGCCTTTATTGGTGTGGTCGGGTGCTGGCGCTCAACCAGAGGGACCGCGAAGCGTACCTGAGCTGAGAAGCAAAGCCTTTTGAGAGTATACAAATTGAACGTCCAAACAGAGGCATGTGAAGGTTCACTTGAACACTTGCTGATATCTATGTATCTATTTAACACCATCCATTTTATGTCTTGTTTCTTAACCTATTCTACCTATATATAAAATAGAATCTATAATTACGAAAGCCAGCCGATAGGCTAGGCTTGAGCTTTTAGGGCGAACGAAGTGAGTTAAGGGGGGGGTGGTCGCTGAGGAGGACCTTGGTGGGGTTGACCAAAGCGAGGATCAGAAAAGCAGTTCAAATGGGTCTGGTGATGCGAGTGATGTAATGGACGCCGAGTAGTGCATCATTAGCATCATGAAGGGCTTTGGTTGCTATTGGGGCAATGGGCACTGAGCAATCGAGTACCCACGTACAGAGCAGACCGCAGCCGCATGTAGGATACGAGTTCCCAGGACAACCCGTAACTTGCGAAGCCATAGAGAACCGAAAGTGACATGAGTTCAAATCCATGAATTTGGATTGAGTTTCGGTGGGGGTGCTGCGCGGCTGACTACATATCCGCATAGGGTTCCTGCCCCCTAGCAAAAACTATACTTGCACCATGCCCTCGGTCGAGTGGATGCTTCTCGCGACGTCCACACGCACCGAACGTTTTTCTGGCTTGCCGGTGCAGATAGATAGACAGATAGATTAGATAGATGGATAGATAGATGCATAGATACATAGAATGATAGATAGATGGAGATAGAGATATAGATTGAGATTAAGATAGAGAGACAGATAGAAGATAAATTCTGTATACTACTGACTCGTGACGTCGCGTTTTTGATGGCAGCCCTGGCCGAATCCAGTCAGCCTGGGTCCACGGCCCAAAGATCTACACACGCAGGTGCCAAAGTCAAGGCCTCTGAGTGAGAAAGGCACAGAGTTGATAAGAAAGAGAAGAATAAAGAAGGCGTTTGGATCGTTTAATAAAGGCCCCTTTAAAGGAAAAAGATTGTGTTTTGGATCGAGCCAGAACATGACTCACTCAAGTCCAGGCATGTGCACCGATATGCACACAAATCCTCAGTCCTTTGCTAGCCCAAGCTACTCCTGCGCCACGGGATCAAACGTCCGTGTCCCGGCTAAGACGTGCCCGTTCACTCTTCCAAATCAAGGAATGCCGCTTTTCGACGTGCCGCAGCATGCATTGCAAACAAACAGTCCAAATGTACGCGCGGCGACGCTGACTATGGAGAAGGTCTTCCTGCGCGCGCGCACGTGGTATCCCACCACCCGAACTCAGACGGTACTTCCCCTTCGCATCCCTTTGCTAGCGCTGATGTCGCCTTCCAACTTCCATAAGATGCATACCTTCCTGCATGTGACAAACACATGCCATTGCCGTGTGATGATGGCCTACACCAACATACAACGTATCGCATTTCTCTTGCACTACTTCTTTCATGCCAAATTTATCCCAAAGCCACCCGGCTTGCTTCTCTGCCTCCATCACCATTACATACGCCCCCCCGCATCCGCGGCACCGCTGACTCGCAAGCTGCCGACCATGTGTCTTGTGCCGACGCCCGCCAGAACAAGAGACACTCGTCTGGCGGCTGCTGGCTTTCGTCCCCCCCTTCTCAGGTATATATCTAATCTAACCTAATCTAAGATTATATAATCTAACCGAATTTTTCTTACTTCTCTTATCCTATCCTGAGCTATCATTCTAGAGTCATGTGAGGGGCATGCAAGGCTTGGACTTGAGCTCATAAATTGCTTGACACGCTGAACATCACAGCGCCAAGAACTAGTCTTGACCAGTCATCAGAACTTAACTTGTCCAAGGCACTCTTGCTTGCACTTGGCACGGTCGTACAAGAAGTGATCCCACGGAGTTCTGTTGGACAGAACTCTAAGCTCTAAGCATGTGAACAAAAGATTTGGGACGGCTACCCAGGATCTGACATGATGGGAGCGGTGTTGCGGGAACGAATGCATTGAGCAAGTGGAGGTACCCCTTCAACATCGCAGTGAAGATATCAAAGGCGAGCCAAGTAACTGCCTAATAGCGTCCTTGCTCCTAGTAGCATGCCAGGAGCCCCTAGTAGTTTCTTGCCCCTAGTAGTAAGGCCAGGAGCCCCTAGTAGCGTCCTTGTTCTCTAGTAGCGATGTGTCAAGTGACCAAGTGCCATCAAGTGTCCAAAGGTCAGATTTGTAAGTTGAGGCCGGTGTATTGTGGGGCCATGACGAACTATAGCAAACGACTTCAATGTTCGGCAATTCCACTCCCCTATGCGTTTCTTTGCCAGGTTCTTGCGGAACATGAGGAACACATGGCGAAGGAGGATGCAGCTCTTTGAGGTTGATGTGTTTTCACGGAATTCGGACGCAGTGTTGGCACCGTTAGGCACCTGTCCTGTGCTAGAAAGGCTGTGCACAGCTTTGTGCCAACTGTCCTTTGTGCCCACGAGGCTGGGCGAATTTTAATTGAATTCCAAATGGCGTGGGTCATTGTTATTGTATGAGTTGCGCACAAATCCCATCACGAAATGGTACAAACAAGAGTTTAGGAGCTTAGGCCCTTCGCCATTCTAGAATGCCAAAGGCATAGTAATTGACACCGTCAGGTCTCAGGACTGGACAGTTCGCCATTCTGGCGGATAGATTGCAGGGCTTGGGTTTGTGAAGTTTTGAGGGACCATTGCATGCAGCCCATGCGCATAACAGAAGTATGAGAACACAATTCCGCAAAGTCTTGTGAGCACACTTTGCAGACCCAACCTTGCTCATTCTGCACCGGAAAAAGCTTTGGCGCTAAGCGAGATGGGGGTCTGTATCCGTTCAGCTTTCTGCTTTTTAGCGGGTGCAAGACGTGCATGAGACTGGTGATTTGTGTGTTGTATCAGCCTGGCCGATTGACGGTGGGCTCTAGGGAAACATTCTTACCACACTGGAATTCTTGCAAAGCTGCTTCATGCGTTGGGCATAAATTGAAGTTGCAAACATGTTGCAACTCCCTTCTCTCCCTCTTAAGAAGTAAGCTTTGCAACTGGAGAGATCGTCGCATGCGAGGTTTCAAAATTACCCTGTAACTCCGCGGTACTCTTAGTACCACAAGTTGCTTTTTTGTCAATCTTCCAAACCAGCAACTTGCGTACACTGCCGTCCTCAGCCCTGGGTTGTTTCGAACACCGAAGCTTTCTCGTGAGGCACTTGGATGTGCCAAAGAGCCATGGGGGGGAGCGTAGTCAGACCGTCAGGATCAGAAGCATCAAATCAGACATATGAAATTGCAAGCAGGCCAGCAGGTGCAATTCTACCCTCAAAGCCTGGCAGGCTTCCAGTTTCCACTCGCCTGGCTAACTGGCCTGATGATTTCAGCCTCAGGTCTGGAAAAAAGTCCGAAACCAGAAGATCCACAGTTCTTTCGGCATGCCGGACATCACTGCTTTCTTGCCACCCTGCCCAGGTGTGCAGGCTGGGTTGCGCTCAGTTGATGTGCTTCAGTCAACTGTGGCTGGATATCAAGATGAGGCTCTCAAAGCGGCCATGCCAAGCCAAATGCTGCAAGCCCAAAGCTCAAGCACGCTAGTCCATCCTCGTCCTTAGTTTTGCGCTGTAAAACACATGGAAACTTGAATTGAAGCTAGTAACAAGAAGCAACTAGGGGCTACTAGGAGCAAGTATAGCAGCTAGTAACAAGAAGCTTTCACCGACCGAGGTCTTGGCCTTGCTGTTGGCTTGACTGGCATGATTTAGAGTACGCGCCACGAGATTCTGACGCTCCCGAGACGGAGCCAAGAGTGACGAAACATCCTGGGGGAGGCTTAGTCATGGAGTCTTACAGTTTCACAATGTTTCACATGTTCGCACATTTGTTTTGGCTGCTTTGAAGAGTGCGCTCCCGCCTGCTTTTGGCTCCTGTCGCTGGCAGCCATTTGATCCCCCACTGAAGTGAGCAGAGATGACGAAGCTCGTGGCTTTCGCCTTGGCCGCGGCCACAGTGTGTGCCTGGCTTTGCGCTCCGAGTTTTGTTCAATTCCTGCCACGCAGCGCTCCAGCAGCCCCAAGCCCACAGCAAGCACGCACGCCCGATGTGCTGGCTGGTGCAGGGACCGGCCAAGCCATGCTGGCCTTGGGCCTGGGCGTGGGCGCAGTGGGCGCAGTCGTGAGGGCTTCCAAGATGGCAAGGCTGGACCAATGCGATGTTTAGCACATTGTCAGATTTTCATATAGAGTTAGTGAGCGGTGCAACGACGTGACCAATATGCTCATCAAATTTAGGGGTGACGCAGAGATAGTGTGAACAAGGGCTTGTGAAGACGACGCTACTAGGAGCAAGGACGCTACTAGGGGCTCCTGGCATCGCTACTAGGAACGAGAAGCTACCAGGGGCTCCTGGCCTTGCTACTAGCAAAGGACGCTACGAACGGAGCTTTTTCCTCCAGGCGTTCCCATGCCGTGAAGATCTACGACACTTGCATTGGATGCACCTTGTGCGTCCGTGCTTGCCCCACCGATGTGCTGGAGATGGTGCCAGCCACAGTGAACGCGGCCAAGCAGGTCGCATCATCTCCTCGGGTGGAGGATTGCGTCGGCTGCAAGCGCTGTGAAACGGCATGCCCGACGGACTTCTTGAGCATTCGATGCTTGGATTTGCAAATCATTTGAAGATATTTTTGTTGGAGGCCATCACTATTAGGTTGGAAGCCATCGCTAACTTTCTCCGTCGCTTGATTTGAGATGTGCACCAGCTGTTGGCATTGGCTTTGCCCAGGTGTCTACTTGCAAGAGTACGAGGAAACGCAGTACAGTGCTCCAAGCTGCAGGGAAGGGGCCAAGATGGGCTGACATACAATGGCTATTCCCAGTTGTTCCCTGCACAATCCGCACATGAATTCAACACCATAGACATAGATCTATGCCCACCGGATGGATATGAGGTGCCTGAGGTACTATGACCCAGAAGTTGTGTACTTTCCTCTTGGGCGCCCGGATGGACAAAGGTATAACTTCCAAGAAGTACAACCCTTCATTTGCTGCCCATGCCTTTCCAAGGTCTTGGCTTGGACTTGGCTGACTGGTCTACCTGAGTGCCGGAGCAAAGTGTTTAGAGCGTCCAGCTGCGGTGACCAAATGGGCGAGCAATATTGCTTGCCGTGTTAACTGCTCTCATTGTGTTTTTGATCCTAAATGGGAATGTGCAAGTCCCTCATGAATGCCTGCCTCTATTCTAGCTGGTCGGTTTCTGTTTGTAGTGACCATATGGTTCGATTGGGCAGTGCGTAAAACATGCAGAGCGACTGCTGATTCAAGATTGAGATCGAAAATTCGTGACTAGGTCTAGGTCCTGGGTTCTTACAATGTGGACTGTATACCTTAGAGCGCATGGTTAGTAGTTAGTTACCTGGTTGCAAGGACTGTGGTTGTCTATGTATTGTACTTTCTGCTTGCTTGGGCTCAAGAATTGAGCCTGATACTTGTGTTGGTTTTGTAGGATGGGAGAGAGTAGTTCGCCATGACTTCGGCCATGGCGAACAATCAGCAACAGCAACATCAGCAGCACATGATGTCAGGGACTCAGCAAGTAACAAAAAATCCAACACTTGATCTACAATATGCCGCGATCACCTTTTTCGATTTTCTTTGCATCCCGCATCCCTATCTCAATCTGTGCACTTACAGTCTTACAGCGGGACTTGTAGCAAGTTCTTGGCTGCTACCTCACTAAGGTACTACTATGTTGCAGTGCCAGGACAAATGCAGCCGCAAGTTGCACAAGGCACAGATGGTGGTATGATGGCCAATCAGCAAGGCCAAATGCAGGGTGGATACGACCCATCGCAGCAGATGCAGGGCTTCAACATGGGTGGTGACCATGGTGGGTACGCATTGATGATGCCTCAAGATGGCTCTCAGATGGGAGGGGTGAACCATCAGATGGGCCAAATGCAGCCCACCATGATGGCTGCAGGGAACAGTGGATGTGCCATGCAGCAGATGGTTCTAGTAACCACCATGATGCCGGACCAGCAGGGTCAAATGGTCATGGACCCAAATGCATGCCAAGCTTGCGGTGGGCAAGCGGCGCCCAACAATTGGGGCCAGGGAAACATGGCGCATTGTAATGGATGCAGTGCGCCACAAAATATGCCTCAAGGCACGCAAGGGATGGGACAAGGGCAGCAAGTTCAGCAGCAAGTGCAGATGCCGCAAAAAGGTGGCATGGTGCAGAATCAGCAAGCCACAGCCCCCGCAGCAGCGCCTCCACCCAGCTCAACCACACCAAGCGACCCCCCAGCGCCAGCTCAGCAGCCTGAACGGGCCAAGCCAAAGAAAGGCCTGGTCAACAAAAAGTTAGACAAAAATGCTGCCACTCAAAATGCAGGCAGAGAGGCAGGTCAGGCCGGTGGAAGTGCGCCAAGTGCACAAAGTAGTACCCCAGCACCTGAGCCCAAAGCACCAGCCGCAGAAAGTCACCCAACCAGCCCCTCCTCTGGTGGAAATCGTGAATCTACCGGACAGACACAGACGGGGTCTCGGTTCAACCAGCCTCCTTTGCCCCCACTGCCACCCAAGGCCCAAGGGATCACGTGCCATGCTTTTGCGTCCAACATTAAGGCCTTGAATTTGGAACCCATGCGGTCCGCTCCTCCGAAGCGGGGTTCGCACCCCTCACTGCCCTTCCAAGAGGGGATCCCCCGTTCCCCAGGGGCCAAAGCCAAGGGGCCAGGAGCTCCGCCAGCTGCACTTGAGCAGCAGCAGGAGCTCCAGCAGGAAGCACATGTACCACAACAAGCACCACAGCCCCAACAAGCACAACCCCCTGTGCCCGAAGTGCCACAGCCTATGGCAGCCGCGCCTCATGTCCCAGTAGAGTCTTCTGCTCCAGCACCTGCGCCAGCAGCACAAACACAGGCTCTTCCGGGCGCATCTGCACAGTCTCCGCCTGTGTTGCTTGGCTGGACATGCTTTTGCGATTGGCAGGGCATAGGGCTTTTCAAGATTTACTGTTTGGCAAGAGGCATGAACCTGAGGCCTTTGGCAAAAACGCCTGCAAAGAAAGGCTTCAAGTTGAAGAACGAAAAGCTGGATCCAGCCTTAGCATGAGGGACTGACAAATGCAATGTTTGGGTTCCTTTGACTCACCTCATCAGGGGTATCGGGCTTTTGAAGGCCAAGTGCGGCCCACCATGTGGTGTAAATCAGTCGCATTAGAACATTTTTGAAATGCAGGGGGGTGGAATGGATGGGCTCTTTGCCAGCCTTCGACTTGACAAGGCCAGAACCGGAACTGCCAAGATTGAGGATGGGGATGCGAAGCCTGAAGCAATCAAGGCTGGCATTTTTGGTGTTGTGCGTGGCACTAGCTCCTTCAGTAGCCCTCGGTTTGCTGTGCTTGCCCAAGCCAGGCAGGTGTAATCTTACTTTGTCCTTTTTGTTTCTTTCCTGCGAAGGATGTGAAACCTGTGGTGATTGTCCAGGACAGCACTTGAGTGTTGAGTGGTGCCCCATGACCCCAAAAAGGCAGATTAGGTTGCAGTGTGACATGGATGGAAAAGATCATGGATGAACGATGAAGTCACAAGGCTTTGCACCATCCTTGACAAGGCCAGTTGATGCAATTAATTCATTCCTCGGAGGAGCCTGTGATTGAAGCCATCACCCATGACCCGTCGCGCGTGACTTGACTGGAACTAAGGTAACTATGACGGCGTCACATGTTCACCACAAAGAAACATCCATGGAATTAAGAATATCATTACAACGTTGCGTGAAGTGGTTGAATATTATATGTCAATGCACGCCCGTGCAGAGAACAGCGCCACTAGCCCGCCTAAGAGGTTTTCGCGGGAGCTCTCAATATGTTCAGCAGAAGAAGATCTTTGTGCTGGAAAGTTTGTAGCCCCAAAGCTAGCGCAAGAGAGAGAGAAGAGAGAGAGAGAGAGAGGGATGGAGGGAGGGAGGGAGGGAGGGAAGGAGGGAGGGAAGGAGGGGTAGGGGAGCGCAACAGATTTGTAGAAGATCCTTCTGATGTCTAGAGGTCCACCATAGGTCCTTTGGACGGCCTATCGTCTCGGCATTTTGAACGTTCTGCAGCATTTTCGTGGCTGAGTGACTGCCCTTTGCAAGAGGTGTCCCTCATGCCAGAGAACAAGGTCTTCAGTGCCTTGGCACATGACTCTGTCCTTGTGGGGGTCGGACTTCTCCGTGTCCCAGCGCAGATAGAGGTTCGATTTATATATAGCACTCTCTTGATAGAGGTTCGCTATACATAAATAGTTCCTGAGCAGCCACATGAAACAGTCTATTTCCCCTGCGTTCTGCATAGGTTTAATCATCAGATACTTGTGCAAATAATCGGGGGTTGTTGGCAATAGCCGACTGCCGGAAGAATGCCGGAGAGCGGTTCCTTTTTCGTTTACAGTATGTGTTTTTTCCCGTGAGACGAGGTTGCAAAAAGACTTGGTCACAAATCAGTCCTTGGTCGACGTGTCCAAATTTCGAGGCAGAGAATTGATGCTGAGAATTTGGCAGATGCACAAGGCCGAACTCCACGGTGAAATCAGGGGACTGCTGCTTGGCATGAGAAGTCTCAGCTAGCGATGGCATCCAACCTACTAACGATGGCCTCGAACCTAATAGCGATGGCCTGCAACGCAACCCAGAAAAGCTGCTGCTGCTGCTGCTTCTGCTGCTGGTGTGCTGTTGGTGGTGTTCTGGTATTTATGTGCTGCT